CTACAGGGAATCTGAAGTTGTTCATCTCTCTTCCACTGAAGGGAAATTATCTCAAACTAATTAATGCTGGAAAAAAAAATGGGGGTGTGCGCTCAGATTGGTACTGTGAAACTGTTCACATCTAACCTACGTGATACTATATTGCTCCTAAACTCAGTACCTAATCTTTAGTGTCACCAGTTTTGCATATATGTGGAATTAAGCTATTCTACTCAGTTTATCTAAAATGAAAACGTACCAGAGATTCTACAAACAAGCAAATAGGCAGAAATTAAAACAGGATCAAATAATGCACAGTAAAGTGATCCTAATGTAAATTGAAGTCTTTTGAATCATCATTTCTGGAACCAGAAGGGAAATCTTATCTCCTTTCACTAGCCAAAGGTATTTTTTATTTGGCTGCAGGCTTTGATTTCTGGTCATATGGGGATAGTGTGCAAATCTGGAACCATCTACTCAGTTACTATTGATCACCAGAGTTCACTCTCATATGCTCTCTCTCTATGTATGGGTGTTGTTCTGCATAGCAAAGTATGCACTTCAGCTGCATTTTGCATTCTGCGTATTGAACTAGATGTCTTCGGGAACATTTTTTAATAATATATTTTAAAATGTTCCTTCTACAGTCTTTCTGAAATAGAAGCAATTTATCATTGCAGACAAATATTTTTCTCAGAATATTTTTTTATATTTATGGGATATATTGGATAAAGTTTTGCAATATATTTATCTTTTTACTGAGAAATTACTTGAAAATGAGGATGTGTATGGAATGGGTAAGCCAGTAACTTTTTGTGTACACTGAGCACAGCATGCAGAATTCAAGCGGGTGGAGAAAACATTTGAACTGAAATGGAATAAATACAGAATTGCATTTTGAATATAAACAAGATATACATATAAATTTGAAAACTCTAGTATCAGCAGTCTGGGGACAGTATTCTTCATATTTTCTTCAAGAGCTATGAATAGAAACCTAAGAACAAAGTAAGACTATATTCAGATAATCTGAATTCCATCTGCATCTCTAATCATATCTGGGTTTCTTATTGTCTGGGCTACAAGGCCATATATGTAACAATAACAACCAAGTTCTTTAGCACAATTTTGACCATATCAATTTGAACTAAAGATACGATCTTTGTGCCATTTACTACCTGCAACATGTTCTACATTTTTGTCATGCTCTGTCCGTACTTTTGCTTGAGCCTGCTGCTTTTCTGCTGCTTACTTTGCCTCTCCCTTTCTTTTATTCTGCTCTGACCCCTACCAGTTACCTGTGTGAGCTTCTGCCATGTCTTCTGCCACCTGTGGGATTGACATCTTATCTTTACTTACACAAGTAACTAAATGGGAACTTTGCATTATAATTAGAAACTAAGATTTCAAATCAGCATTCAGGACTGGCCATAACTCTCTGAGAGGTGCCTGGGAATAAAAGAAATCCTGAGCAACCGAAAAGTCTGTGTCACATTCAACAGCGAGTAATTTCCAATGTATCACAGGCAAATGTGTAATCATAGTGAACAGGAAGAAATGTCCATACTCTGAGCACTTCAAAATATTGATGTGTACAATTTGCATTATAGTGACAACCTGTCACACATCTTTTTCACAGGATATAGTGCAATACACTAAGGAAGGAAATACAGTGGAATTTCCCACCTTTCTATACTTAGAATGGCTTTCTTGCTAAAGGACACTGGAGTCTGCTAGTGGGTATAACCCACATGACACCAGCAACGGGGGTCTGCAAGCAGAGCTGGAGTGAAAGAACTGCCCAAGCGGGGACTGAGCAGAGGACTCAGGGGGAGTTATACCTCTGGCAGGACTGTGACCAGTGAAGGAGCCTTGCCAGAGCAGTGGAGGAAGAAACAAGCAGCCTCCAAAGAGGAGGAACCACAACATGCTGATCCAAATCTCCCTCACTGCCCACTGCAGGCACAGTGTGCGGGCAGCAAGAGGACTGGAGACGGGAAGGGGGAGGAGCAGTGCCTTGAGAGGATTCCAAGTGTAGTTCTCTAAGTGTTTGTTTGTTTGCCTGTTTCTATTTTTCGGTAGCAGAATCAGTAATTAAAAATTTGTTAGTTGACCAATAAATTAAGTGAAATTCCCCAATGCAAAACTTGTTTTATAGCCAGTGACGGACTTCACAATTCACAGTGTTTGTAGCTATTCTCAAAACGTTTGATACAGTTCTTAAAATTTGCTGAAGTTGGATGAGTCAAACAGCCTTCTCCAGTGACGTGGCTAGCTTCATGGGTGAGTGGTGAGAAATGGATGTCATTTGCCTCTATTTTAGTAAGGCTTTTGACACTGTCTCCCATGGCATCCTTATAGACAAAATATGGATTAGGTAAGTAGGCGGTGAGGTGGATTGAAAACTGTCTGAATGGCCAGGCCCAGAAAGTTCTGATCAGCAGTATAAAGTCCAGCTGGAGGCAATTCACTAGTGGTGTAACTCGCAGGTTAATAGTGGGTCTAGTCCTATTCAAGGTTTTCATTAAAGACCTGGACAGTGAGACAGAGCACACCCTCAATAAGTTCACAGATGATACAAAACTGGGAGGTAGGGATGATACACCATATTAAAAATACTTATTATTAAAAAACACAAAATATTTTGTTTTGAAACAAGATACTACTTTTAAATGTGCACCATTGTCCAGAATTGCTTCTTTACCTGAATTCTGAGAGCTTCTTCTACCTCTACTGCCATAGCTTTTACCAATGTTGACCTTCTGTTTGGGAGCAGTAAAACCAGTTCTTAAGAAACTAATTAATATAGAATTACCCAATAGAAATACTTGGAGCTGAGTAATTCCATGTTATGTCCTTATTCAGTGACATTACGTCTCAGAGTGGAAGGAAAAGTGTGCTGCTGGCCAAGTTAATGATTGTACTTTTACTGATTTTAATATGTCAAAGGTCTTTTGGTTTCTTAATAAGGAAGAAAATGTATGTAGGTTTGTTTTATTGTTATCCTTCTGACCTTCTTCTGACATTGCCTGGAGATTATTTGCATGCAGGGGAAGACAGGTACCTTCAAGACTCTGTGCTTTTTTGTTGTATGCAAGTCAACTAGATACCAAAATGTGTCACTTCCTTGATTCTATGATCACCAGCAGACTCTCATGGGTCAGTGACTAAAAAGCAAAACGAAAAAAAAATCGTATTTCCTAGTAGTGGAACAAGTGCAATAAATAGTTGTTAAACCATTCTGCAAGAATATTATGATCTTCAAAACCATCCTTTATTTGATTTTTGATCATCCTTTGAATTTTGTCTGGCAGGACAGGCAAGTAGAAATTTATTTTTGTAGCATTATAATGAATATAAGATTTTATACCTTGTAAGTCCCTTCCCTTATAAGTCTCCTTCCATTCCTTTTCACTAAGTGTGAGAGTCAACTCCTGTCATCTAATCTCAATTAACAATTTAAAAGGTATGCATCTAAATTTGCTCTCTAGGTTCCCCTTACAAACAGTGCAACAAGACAGACTCTAAAAGTAGTATATTTTGTAGCAGGTTAGTTTGTTTTGCTGTATAGGACACTGTCTAGTAGAATGTCTGAGGAGTTTGAGATAGCTGAGGTGAGTCATTCATTGATGTCTGTCCGTCCCTTCATGACTATGATGGGAACTCAGATCACCTCAGACTAGCAGTCCAGTTTCAACACCCTAGGTTTGATGTTATGAAGTCTACAACAATTCACTAGTTTTTCATGTCATATTTCACTGAGCCAGGAGCTGAGCCCATTACAAGTTTTTCTTTGATACAGTACTTACAGAGTAAGCTCCTGAAAGAAGCAGTCGTACCTTCTATTAATAATTCTTTATTACAGTTAACCTCTGCTGCTGTGGTTTTAAGAAAAGCTGTCCTCATTTTTATTAGCTAAACTTTTTATCATACAAGCTGGTAAGAAAAATAATTAAATTTACCAGAGGTCACTCTTATTTCATAATTCCTTGCAGTTAAAAGCCATACAGGGAACACTTGAAGTTAATTAAATTTATGGCCTCTTAAAGAAGATACATGACATTTTACCTTACAATGGTAAGGTAAACTTTTGTGTCTGCCAGACATTTGTAATATTTTTAAGGATAAGATGAGAGCTTTCTTACGTCAAAAAAAAGTAATTTAAAATTGCCCTTCATAGTGCAAATTTTTACACTGACAATTTTTAACACAGAAAATGCAAGTTTTCTTGTCGTGCTGGTAGTTTCTTTTCAAGCATCTCATTAATCTATTTCCATCCTCCCTGCCCCCACCCCCAATAGCTCCTTTTAGTTGCCTGTCCTTTTATTGAATTTTGAATGAAACTTACAGAAATGTCAGCATGTCTCCTTTCGGGACTACAGTTGAAATTATCAAGCTCACTTTCACTAACTCCAGTTGGTGACAAATGACAATTCTATTTAGCAAGGGATGGTTCTCTTTGAGGTTGGATTGATGGATGAGGGCATAAGAGGTTGGGCTGGCTGACAAGGTTACCCTTACCAGCTGTCTACCCATCTCTACTGCATGGGTGTCCATGCTGCTTGTCAATCAGCTTTTGAACCACTGCTGTTTACTGTGTAGTGTTTTAAGGCAGACTGTGATTGGTGACAGCTTACTTTACTTGAAAATGCTGTGATGCAAATGGTGGTGGTTCCAAAACTCACTGATGAGCAGCTCAGACATCTGTGCAGTAAAGGCAGGCTGGACACCTAGGTGGCAACAGCATCAGCTGTCCCAAGAAAAGCCAGCCCTTTTTGACAATCAAGAATTTTATTTTGTCTTTGCTTTTTTGTACGTTTTACCCTTTTTGACAATCAAGAATCTTTTATTTTGTCTTTGCTTTTTTGTACGTTTTGTTTTGTTTTGTTTTAGGTTATAATCAGCCTGCTGCCTAAGAACCCCAGCTTTGAAGTGTTTTTGAATGTGAATGTATAAGAACCTCAGTAGTGTTTTGAGATTTCACTACAAAATCCTAATTTTTTTTAAATTCTTGTCTGTAGGCTGGAGCAAATGTGCTGCTGCAAGATGTTAACGGAAACATTGCACTTGATTATGCCATAGAAGGGACTGAATCTAGCAGCATCCTTCTGATGTACTTGGAAGAGAATGGTAAGTCAGCTCTTCAGCTTCTGGAATGTTTTTATTGAACATGACATAAAAATGAAAAGGATCAATATTGACTTAATGTAAGTCAGCACTGAAGCCAACGGAACTGTATTAGTCTGGAGATGAAGAGGAGGAAGGTGATTTGGAATCACTTAAGTTTTCAGTGAATTTAGATTGGAACAACTAACAAAGATTAGTGGCAGTGGTCATGTCAGATCTGCTTTTTTCCCACTCATAGGGAGATACAAGAATGTGAATTCAAAGCAGAAAAAAGGCAGTAATGCAGAAGCTTTTGAAACAACTAATTTAATAGTGTGAGGACCAGGTTTCCCATTTTGTTTCATTTCATATGTGAGTTTTGTATAGCCTCAGAGTATATTTTTTTCCAGTGACAGACTGTTAAATAAATAAATCTCTGAAAATCATTGAAATGGAAATATATATGAAACTTTATCACTGTTGTGGTTTAAACCTGGCCACCAGCCAAACACCACACAGCCGCTCACTCACAGGCTCATCTGTATTATTTCATAATTCCTTGCTACTACTTCCCAATTACTTATTCAAAAATATCAATTTTGTTTTGTCTTAAGAAAATACTGTATCTAGATTTCTATTATGAAGTATGCTTAATATGTTATAGATGACAGGAGCTGTATTCAAAAAAAGGGTTTGTTATTCACCAGTTCCAAACTTAGATAAGGGTTCTAAAGTGAGATTTCAGTGTTACATCTTTTCCAGTAAGTAGGAGAGGCGCCATTCCTCATTAAGCAATGATTCTGTGAATGTGGGAAGTTTCCAAAGAAAAAAAACTTAAACATTATGAAGGTGAGATCTACTGCTACTAACTCTAGAGAGCTAAGGCTGAACTAATTTTTCCAGACCTTTTATTTTGGTCAATAGAGAGAAATGGGAAATGAATTTATTGTTTCAGCTCTTTCTAACCTGGCTAGGTGAGGAGAGCTGACTTCCAGGATGGTTTCTTTTGCTGACTAGTAAGAACTTAGGTTGACAAGTAGTGGTTTGTTGGTCTTAGTATTAGACTGTTAGGGTAGATCAATCCTACCCTTTAACTGCAGTACTGCTTGAAATCCTTTGGGTGGTCAATGACAAAATGCCAATCAACTTTGCTTGGTCTGTTGCTGTTCTTTTTATAACAATAAGCAGCTCAAAGTACCCTTATTTCACTCTTAGTTTGTGAAATTTAATTAGTATCTTCTGAAAAATTTGTATAGCCTACCATGGTTAATAGTAATTGAGGAGGGAATTCTTGAAGGAAATAAAGCTGTCTGGATAAGTATGAATTACTTTGAATTGTCCAGACTGTTTTTGTGAAGCCTTCGTCAGTGCAGTAATCCCCATGCATATCTGCATATGCATACCCTAACACAGAGCAATGCCATGGCCAAAAATCTTGGAGCATTAGCTCATCCTATAGTAAATACCATCTTCAGCCTGTAGTGTTGTTAAATACCCGCCTATAGTCTCATCCTTTAAATACAAAGTATAAGGCACATTTCCCTAATCTCTGTACTTCCCTGCATTCCTACAAGGTGTCCTTAATGTTCTGCATTCAGTTATGCAGGCTGGTTTACATCATTAAGAAGAGATTCCTGTGTAAAATAGACTGTGCTCCAATCATTGTCTCTAATTGCAGAGTTCACAGAGAAAAATAAAATTAAGTGCCTTATGACTCAGCTAACAAGAAAAAAAATAAAAGAGTAGGCTGCCCAGGGAGGTGGTTGAGTCACCATCCCTTAATGTGTTTAAAGGTTGTTTAGATGTGGTGCGTGGTGATATGGTTTAGGGGTGTACTTGATAGAGTGGGGTTGATGGTTGGACTCAATGATCTCAAAGGTCTTTTCCAACCTGAATGATTCTATGATTCTATGAAACAAAGTAAGATTGGAACAAGTAGCTTTGATGCTACAGAAAACTTTGTTAATTGGGAACATTAAAGTTCTTAGAGGTCTTGGGTGCTTATAATTTCTTACAGATTTCATCACTGAGGTAGTTCACTGTATCTGTTTAGCTGCACTACAGATCTTAGTGAGCGCCCAGAAAGGCAGTGGAAGCCACATCCCTGGAGACATTCAAGGTCAGGCTTGATGGAGCTCTGAGCAACCTGACCTAGTTAGAGATGTCCCTGCTTATTGTATGGGGGCTGGACTAGATGATCTTTAGCGGTCCCTTCCAAGCCAACACATTCTATGATCTATGAACTCCCTCTTCATTGTCGAAGATAACCTAATTTACTCTGCGGAAGGTCTAGAGCCATAGTTGATAACAATAGCCTTAGATGCATTTAGTGATTTATATATTTTAAAATATTTTTTCATGTTTACTGAAGTTAATTATGTCTTTGAGTTCTGTTTGTACATGATCTGTTAGGGCACAGGAGTATCACAAGTGCAAAATAAAGTTAATCCTCTAACAACTGCCTGAAAGCTTTCATACTATATTCTTGTTATAGAATATAGCTCATCAGGACATTATATGGAGATTATATTGACAAAGTCTACATGAAATTCTGTGTATTTAATTAAAATATTCTCTTTTCCTGTACAGAAATCAGCTTTTACATTATTTTATGTAACTGATATTACATTGTATACTGAAACTAGTTGTTGACTGAAGAAAGGAATAAGCAGACTTCACTTACCTAAGAGAAAACAAGTTGAGGTACATACCCACTGTATATTAAGAGCATCCACTGTGTTGAGTGGTAGTTCTAGTAGTCACTGTAGGTGTCATTTAAGATATCACTAATCAAGGGTAGGGAAAATATAGCATGCAATTTCATATTTAGAAAAGTGGTGGAAATAGCTTAACTGTGTGATATTTGATCATGTCCTAGGAGCACTCAGAAGCCTAGTTTGCTGCTGAGCTCCAGGACTTTATTGGGGTTGATTTATCTAAATCAAGTGTCTCGTAGTCACTCTGCAGCAAACCCTCCTTAGAGCAAAAGAGATGCTTCAAAGGTAGTGTCTGTAATGGGTCATGTAAATTAAGATCTGAACTGCATGCTTCTTTCCAAGTGCTATGAAGGGAGCCCGGAAGGGCTAGAGACGTAGAAGCCTGCTACATAGGATGGGATTCAGTTTAAAGTTATGATATTTAAATTTACAAGTCTATGTGTAGGTGCCTACATGTTAGCTTTGGTGTCTAAATTCCTATCACTGTTGGTAGAGTTCTAGGAAATACTGCCACTAGAGAGCAGAAGGGTTATTCATTTGACCAACCGTTAGGAAAACACCAGTAAACACAGTTAAATTTGTCTGCGTCAAGATATCATTGGCTTTACATGTTACTGGTCTTCCTGTTTTGCTATGAAAAGAAAGTCATGACATTTCAGGATTTTGAAAAATAAGAGGCCATCCGCTACAACATCCAGCCAAGGCAAGGCCAACTGAGAGTAGCCCAGGTTACCTAGGGCCATGCTGGGTTGGAGATTCTATGATCTCTCTGGGCTCCCATTCCAGTGCTGAGTCATCTTCATGTTATTTTTTTTCCTTACGATTTTCAGTTGAAATTTTCTTTGTTGGAACTGACACCTGTAGCCTCTTGTCCTTTCATTATTTACCTCTAGGAAGTGTCTCCCTCCAGAGATGAAATTAAAATATTGGGAAGTGTAAAAAGGTTGGTTTTTTTTTTCCCATTATTTGTCCTGTTTTACTCTGAACCTGGTTGATTATTGGAATCACTGAGAAAGTACACCTGGCACCTTCTGTAACCTTTCTTTAAATTAGTATCAGCTTTATATTTTAAGGCAAAGCTTTTGTTGTATTAATGCCATTTTAAAAAATCAAACTTTAAATGACTGCTAGTGTGTGCTCTGTGCCTTTAGATACAGAATGTTCTACTGTAGATGCGTGTCACTGAAACTCTGATTATGGCATGTGATCCTTACTTTCCTCCTTTTCCTTTTGGGCAGTTTTAAATATTTAATGTTTTGAAGAATGCAACATTTTTGTTTCCTTCCTTTCTTGGTATTTAGTTGCATATTGCCTTAGATGACTCAGATATAAACTACAATTGAGTGGCAAAGGTTTCTTGGATCCGATTTGACGAGTGAAGGGAGGTGACACATTCACCATGTAATTTGTTTCCAAAAAAGATGTGT